TAACAATGTCTGTCCATATTTTCATGTTTAAATTGAAAGTGTCATTCCATTTCATTTCATAGAAACTAAGCATTGAGACAAAGATAGTAAGTATATTTTCTAAGCGTTTGTATTGTTGCTTCCAATCTGTGTCAGATCCTAGTTACCCCAACCACAAATTCCCTGTATCACCTTACCAACATTTTCCTCATTTTGTTCTATCATCATGGATAATCAGAGTTCCTATAGAATTTATGATCATGTCTCTCTCACACACTCAAAAATCTCTAATGACACCTAAATGTATGATAAACAAACTTTTCTATAGCTTTGGATTTAAGGCTTTCTGAAATTCAGCCCATCAATAATCTCCAAATCTGATCGACCTGCCTTACCTTCCTGGCACGTATTTCAGTTTTGTCAGTTTGAGTTTTCTACCCTGCACAGCACAGAAGCAGGGAACTGCAGGGTTTAAAAACTTGTGACATAAATGTCAAGCTGTGAATATATCCCAGGCTGTAGAGTCAGACTAATATTTGAATCTTGGTTGTGAATTTTTAAAAGTGTGAGAGCATGACAACTTATTTAATTTCTCTGCTCAGTTTCCTCATTTATGAAAAATGTTAAATATATCATCTGTCTCATAACATCATCAATTTTTCCTCCTCCTTGAAACCATTTATAACTACCCAATGCATATTAATAAACAAAACATTACTGCCTATTTCCTGAAATTACTTGTCCTGTTTATAGACCTTTCACAGGAATAAGACTACCTATGTAACGGTGGGTGGCAGAACAGTGCATTTTTAGAGCATAGTGACTACAGCTATTATTGCACGGTAAAATTGTCTTATAAACTAATGGAAGATAAGGTAATGTTGTGAAAGATAATGAATTCATCAGGCATTAAGAAACATAGTGATTTTAAGCACAAGCACTACACAAGGGCAAAATTTATTTTATGGACAATGTGTAAGGGCTTTATTGTTTCAATATAAAAATCAAAAGCTTTTTATAAAAATTGTGCTAAATGGAATTTACTTAACAATTTACATAATGTGAGGAAATTACAACATGCTGAGGGGGAGCAAAATTCTACTTCATGCAATTAAATGCCATTGGCTATTTAAAAATACTTTATAATTATATTCAATAAAATATAGTTGGAAGAAAATATTAAGAGTGATTATCTGTGGATAGTAAGGTAATGCTGTCCTATATCTTTATTCTCTAATGAGTCTATATTATATTTAATTAGAAGAAAATATTTCTACAAATGATATATCATTCAATATATTCTGAATCCTGGAACCAAGGGATCATACAGGTTAATTCATTCGAGGTGTCAAAAATATCGCTACTTTCCATATAATCTATATAAGTGGGAATTTAACTCTGTTTGTCTAATGTGAGGATCTGTAAATTATCTACATACTAATATTACAGAAAAATAACTTGTGAAGTACTAATTTTCTACAGTCTGCTCAAGCTCACCTTTATTAGTTGGTTGGCAAAGATTATGGAAAAGGCCTCTTACAAGAAAACTGACAAAAACAAGATTAGAAGGTTCATGATAATGCAAATGTGATACCAGTCCAGCAAACCCCGTGGGATTTCCTTCTCGATCTAGATAGCCCTAAGGAACAAAAATAATTTATTAGTTTGGCTCAACTCACCACATAACTAATAAGTAGCTTATTAGCTGGCAGTTTAAAAGTGTTTAGTATCAATATAAAGCAGATTGGTAGCTATTATCTGGTCTAACTTTGATAATTGAATCAATTATAGATAATATTAGTCATTGGATATAACTAGTTATTCAAGTTAGTTCAGCACAGTAAGACAATCTAGATAGTGTCAAATTTATTTCACACAAAAAAATCAAAACACAGTCATACCTGCTTCACCAAGAACTGCAAAGAAAATAAAAAGTAAAGTTTTAATATCTCCATGGCTCTGGGTTGTTTGAAGGACAGCAGCGAATGCTTTAGCACAGACAGCGCCTAAGAGAAGAGCACTTTATTTACACAAGGTCAAGTTTGTGAAATAATTTATAAGAGATAACATAAGTTAGTATCCATACCTGTTATACTACACAGATATTAGCAATCTGCAAGTCTCATCTAGATATCATAGTATTTGCTTTACTGTGTTTTTCCACCCACATCCTTCATTTAACAAAACACAGCACATAAAACAGAATTGTCACCCATTGCCCAGGAGAAGGCTCCCTGCCGCCATTCCACAACTCCTAGGGCAGAGGATACGAGCTGCACACCAGCAGCACCCCCATCCCACGGTGGAAATGAGAAGACACGTAAACAAGCCTCAAAAACAGACTTCAAGATCACCTACAGCAATCCAAAAGGGAAACGAGATGGAACACTCTGATACTCAACCACCTAGACTTCCTGAACTATCAACAAAAGAGGTTCTGGAAAAAATGAAATCAGAAATAATTTCTCAGATAACAGCAAAGATTGTGTCCATAGTGCAAGACATGATTAATAAATCTAGAGAGGACACAAATAAAAAAATAGAGGATCTGAGGAACATGATGGAATCCCAACATA